CTTTGCTGCAAAATCTGGTGGATTTTCAATCAACTCGGTAAGATATTCCTGTGGTGATCTTTTTGAGCTCTTTATGATGCAATGAAGCTACTCCATGATTATTATTATTATTATTTTAGATGACAGAACGCTGGATAACCAATATCTGATTAGCAACACAGGTCTTGATCCTATCGTAGCATTCTCTGATGGGATTAAGCAATTTGGTTGAATTGAGCACTTAAGTTTCACTGCAATGATGTAATTATATTAGTTGTTTATGATGTTAAGAGCGATAACTCTATCCTCAAAAAGAAAAGAAAGGAAAAGAAAAAGTGGTGGCTCTACGCTCCTTGAACCTTTGCATATCATATACTACTCGTCTTTGATATCCTTCCATCATGTGTCTTGCAGATTCTGAAAGGATGTAAAACCTGTGGAGGCAAAGGTGCAATAGAGTGTGGAGGCTGCAAGGTATTTTCCCTTCAAAGTGAGCAGCTTTTGTAAATACCATAGCACAAAAATATTTGGGCTAAGCATATTCCTAATTTCCCTGTTTGTGCCTGCAATATTACTGCCCTGATGGCTGATTGTGCCTTTGTCTACACCTCCTGCCTACATTATCTCTTTTTTTCCTATTAGGGAATACTTCATTAGGAATTCTAGAGGGATATCAGTTTAGAATTGTAACTCATTGAAATGTGCCTATTTTAGTATCATTTGTCACATGCAGAACTAATGAATTTGTTTTCCAGGGAACTGGTAAAAATAAAAAGAATGGAAATATCTTCGAGCGTTGGAAGTAAGTCTTCACTTATTTCTGAAGAACTTAATTAGTTGTTTAACAATTTAAATGTAGGATATTACCTCAAAATTTTGTCTTTTATCTGTTTCTGAGAAAATTTAATATGGTTTCAGATGTTTTGACTGCCAAGGATTTGGGCTAAAGAGTTGTCCTAGTTGTGGGAAAGGAGGGCTGACACCAGAACAAAGAGGAGAAAGATAGTACTAACAAAAGTCAAGTATTCTAAAGTTCTCTGGTTTAATGTAAAGAAAAATCAATCATATTTTTCGTTGATCTAGATTGTACCAGCCAACACTATCATGTATACATACAATGCTTTTCTTATTCAAGAATCAGCAATCCTATTGTTGTTAAAGAAAAAAGGCAAATGAAAAATGTATAAACAGTCCTACTTTTGATCTATTGCAAAATTTGTCGTTAACTATTCAATTACAGCTACAAATCCAACAAAATTTCATGGAATTTTTGGAGGAACGCAGTGTAAATCTATAATTTTTCGATGGCTATTAGGAAATTCCAAAATGTTCTACTTTGCAGATTCTATGAGCATGCATGATAATTTAGCTCTAGGGTTGGAAGTTAGGGATGGACTTGGAGAAGGCAAATATGTGCATAGTATTTGTTCCACATTTGATGCTATCCTGCAATAACATGCACTGATGATATTAGATTATGTTCCTTCGGGTACAATTATTCTAATGGCTATTTCACAAAAAAGCTATTCCAGAAACCCGTATTAGTATTTCATTTTGATGAAGGTATAAAATTTATTAACAAAGATCAAAAAGATATGTAGCTTCTTGGTGAAGACTAAGCCATAAGCCATCATTAGTGAAAGCCTAACACAAAGCCATCAGCCATTATTAGTGAAAGCCTAACACAAAGATTCTGGTAAGAGAGAGTACTCGAATACCATCTCAAGGATTTACTGTGCTTCACCAACCTCAACTTTCAAATCAAATGTCGTATTTCCTTATTTTCATTTTGTTTCAACTGCTCTTAACCATTTTACTAAAACTTTGAAGCAGCAGATGATGAAAATATTAGTCGCACTAAAGGATGTGATAATGAATACTAGGCAAGCAGTGTACATACATCTGAAACAAATCCCTGACTACTTTCCGGCTAGCACCACTTTCTTTCATTTACATCCAGTCTTTCCGGCATGAAATCAACATTTTCTCGGTCTAATTGAAATCAAACTCATCTGGTTTAAACAACTGTCTCGTCTTAAGCTGGAAGAAGCAAAACTAACCACTTGAAACCTTCTGTTAATTCCCTCTTTTAGTATTTGCAGCAGATTTTGAAGCCAAGATTTTGGCTCCAATTAAGATGCTGGACATTGTCTGCACTTTCCATCGATTATACCCCACCGCTCTACTCTTCATAATCTCCTTCTGCTTGATCGTCACTATAGTAATATTCTTGCTCAGGAATTTGGATGTATCCAATGCTACTTCGCAAAGCTAACTCCTTTGTCCTCTTTCTCTTTTTATACCTTCTCCAAACAGATTGGATGAAACAAGCAGCCCATGTTCTCCATTGGTGAGAATAGTACCTAAAAGCATGCTGCAACTTCTTGCTTTGTAGTCTCTTGAATTGATGTGCAAAAAATTGAAGGTCTGTAGCTTCAAGTGCAAAAGCTTCAACTTCAGAAAGGGCCCTCACAGTTCGTGTTGAAGAAGGCAGGTTTATACTCGATTTTGGCATTAAGGCCCACGTGAGTAATTCCTCACCACAGAAGTCACCAGGCCTCAGGGTGGTGGAATTGAAGAATCCAGACCTTCCGCCATTAGTTGTTGAGCTCTCTAATTGTCCTCTAATGACAAACAACATCTCAGTTACTGGATCACCCTCTCGAACTATATAAGTTCCCTCAGTACTCAATGATGACACAAGGCGTTCACATATGGCATCGAGTAGCTGGTCATCCATTTGTGAGAAGAATGGGACACGACGAACAAGGGCCAGACATAAGTGTCGCTGAATTTCTCGTCGGAGGTCCAAAGGAAACGATTGCAGTATAGATTCTTCGTGAACTCCTCTAGTAGCAAGCCATTTGTGCTGAACAAATCGGCGAACACGTTCTTGCAATTCTGGAGGTAACTGGCGATGCCTCATCCACTCTTCTGTATCCCTCCGCTTAATCCTCCACTCTTCAACTCTCACTGTCATAGATTGCAGGTTGGTCTGCATGTTGCCAATTAACTGCGCCGAGAGAACTAAACCAAGAATGCATATGAGAATAGAGAACACATTCTCACCGAGAAATGTGCTCGTTTCCAAGGTCTGTCCATATGAGCTCAGATTTCTTAAGCCCCACCAGAGACAGTACAAGTACTTCTCAATAAAACGGGAGGAAGCAACATCATTGGTAAAAGCATCAGCAAACATTCCAAACTTAAATGTGATAGTGCTGTTACGTGCATCACAATTAACAGGAACATGGGTAACATTCCTCCAGTATTGTCGTTCGACTCTTTCCAAACTATTACAATCTAGATAACTATGGATGCAACCTACAATTCCTGCCTTATTCTCTTTCGTACATTCTGATTTCCAGCAATAGAATTGTCGCCCCAGTGACAACGAATACCAAGAAGCACCTAACGTATGACTGGCCAGCATGTAAAGGAGAAGATTGTATCCAGCTCCAGCCCAAGCAGCCTTGGCAACGAAACCAGTAGATTTTACAATCGTTTGATGCAAAGGAAAGATAAGAAACATTCTGGGAATGTACTGAATCAGAACTATAAGAGAGAGTGTGGTGTTGGCATGATCAGTTCCGTTGTTTCTTGTCGCTGGAATCACTAACCAGATGACAATCTGAGGAAGTGGAAGTGCAGCAGCCAGATCGATAAGGAAATCGGATTTTAGATAACGCGTTGCAATCTCCTTAGCATCAATAACAAGTTCACCCCGTCCGAAAACTCTAGAACTTGGAGCAACAAAAGCCGTACGAAACTTCATAAGAATGTGAAGGAAGAAGAACAAGTCTGCTATAGACCTAAAATATGTAATCAACACGGCAAGTTGATTGTCGCTGGATAAGCAAACATAAATAAAGTCTGAATGTTGAGTAACTCGGTCTCGGTACTGAGGACCGACAAAGGGGACGAAAAAGTAGAGAGGATCGATGAAGAGTGCAATGATGGAAGTGATAAGGAAGACATGGTTCCAATACGTGACAATTTCGCTGTCTGGATCCAGGATTTGGTAGCGCCATAGGATTTGGAGAGGGTTAGGATCTGTTGCGTTGGTGGCATGTTGGTGGTGAAGCCTGAAGCGGCGGAACTTGGCTGTTGGGGTGTGAATAAGTCTATCCATAATCTAATTCCACGGAAAAGTCTGGGAGGATTCTGATCCCAAGATAAAAAGAAGAGACAAGGATCGGCTCCTGTTCAGTTTCTTTATCATTGAAGTTTATTCATTCAAAAAAAAAAAAAAAGATAGAGAATGTGTGAGGAAATTTAAAAGCAAGATTTTGAGATTTGAATACGATGTAAACAGAATGGTTGCATAAGGGGGATGGTGGCTGGTTAGTTGACGGTGGTGTTTTTTTTCTTTTTTTGAGCAGACGGCGACGGTGATTGGACAAAGGAGATTTTGGTGGGAAAAGGCAAGAAATAGCGTACAATCAGGAGTCAAACTCAAGACTAAAAACACGGAAAAGGGAAGTTAAAATTGGAAAAGAGAGATGCTATTTATTTATTATCTACAAAGTGATAGTTAAGAAACCACCGTTTGTAAATTAGGTTTAAGATTTAATTTTCATAGTACTTATAAGAATTTATTTTAAAAATATTTAAAATTGTATATTAGAGAATGTAATTGATCACATTTAGAAAGAAATTAATATCTACATGCCCAGAAGTTGATCTAAAAATATCATCATCGCTTAAAAAGATGTTATTTATTTCCTAGATAACCCAAACCTAAAAAGCATGTATAGCAACATAAAAAGAAGAAATTTTGTCAAAGTTTGGGGATCAGGAGCAAAAGCTGTGACTTTCTCTGTGTGTTTCTACACCAAGTTTTGTTACTTTTGAGCTTCTGCAACCTTTCACTTGCTATTATTAATTGAATCCATTCAGAATCGTCCCAAAAGAAAAAAAATTGCATAATCTTATCTCAAGAAAAAAAAAAAAAAAAAGGAAATTGTTATACATTATAGGTGCTCGTGAAAGGCTGCAACTATAATAGTAAATTTAGTACCTTAGTTATTGAGAGGATGGAGGTGGATGGGAAGGCCATAGGCTGGGATAGGAATCAATTTGTACATAATCTTTTCGTATTGAATCACTTTCTCCCATTTAAATATAGTAAATATAGCCTAAAAATATTTTTTATTTGATCAATAAAAAAAGCATTTATTTTTTTTAAAAAAAACATCAAATCAGTTTATATTATAAGAGTATTTAATTTTAGTTAATGAGTACATATAAAATAAAAAAATAACCACTAATTAAGGAGAAAAAATTTATTTTGAGTAAATAATAAATAATGAAAAAAATAAAAACATAAAAAAGAAAAAAAAGAAAAGAAGAAAGCGTGGGGTGGGTTAACACCAATCCTTTCTGTATGGCCCTGGAGACAACTAGGCCCATATGCCTTTACTCCAATAATAAAAAATACAGTAACCTTTCTTCAATAAAAATTAAATTAACAAACTATTATGTATAAAATTATAACTCAAATAATAAAAATATAAATAATGAAAAAAAATCAAAAAAGCATTTATTTTTTTTTAAAGAAAACGACGTCGTTTCAAGTAAAAAAAAAAGAACAATACTGTTTCGTTAATAGCAACCGAAGATAGTGTGCGTGTATGTATATATTTGTCAACCATGACATACCTTCCATTCCTTAGGAATGGTAAAACCTGCGTAGGAAAAGTCAGTTATAGCCTCTCTAAATCCTCCTTGACCAGGCGGAGATAGTCTCATTGCCTCATAAACCACACACCATGAATACTTCATCTTCTGAATAGCATTCCAATTCAACAACTCTCCTGGACCTTTCGAGTTTGCAATCTCCATTTGTTCTGTAAAGCAAATGTATGATCTGAGTTCTAATTAGCAGGCTGAACAGGACAAGGTTCGGTACGTAAACATCAGCAAATGACAAAAAGCATTTCGATAACTTGAACTTCAATGGATTCGAAGCAAGGCACAAATTTCAGTTTATATAAAAATGGGCTTTCTGCAAGGGTGATCCATTTTGGTTGAACCGTACTATCTACCGAATCAGAACCCATCGTATCAATGTTTTTAATTTGGATCAATTTCGGTAAAAACTTTTCATGATGTGTTTCAGTTCAGTTTCACTTGGTTCAGAATTGAAGACTACATATGGGAACCAAGCGAACAAACTCAACCTTATTTTAGATTTCAATTTTCATATAATTCTATATGGTTTTAGTTTTTGAGGAAACAATAATCTAGGAAAGGAATTGAAATAACCATTGATACTGAATATGATTGATGATATATATTATCTTATATTTAGTTTTTTGGATATGATTTTAAGTTATATGTGCTGAATTAAGTTTATTTTATGATTTAAGAAATGATTAAAGTCAAAGGAGTAAAAGTGTTAATTTGGATAAAATTCTCATTCTGGTACATTGACCTTTAAAGAAATAAATAAGGATTTCATATCCTTAGAACTCCGAACGTAAAAGAAGCTTACTTAAGAATCAAAGTAAATATCTTAAGCTACCCGAAATGATTAATATGAGTGAAAAGACATCTAGTCACTTAAGCAAATGATTTAGGATTCGAGTCTTTCCGTATATAGAGGTAATTATGCCTATCATGTACATCCGATCAAATAGTAAGGGATTAGTTTGAGTTTTTGAGCTTGAGATTCATTGAGAATCCAAAAAAAAGTGAACTTCTTAAGCTTTTCAAATTGTATTTAAATGCACAAATCTATTCTGTTTTGGATTGTCAAAGTCGGTTGTAAAATTAGGAAAGAAATCTAGAAGAAATTTGGGCTTCGTAACAATTCCAAAATACTATCTAGTGTTTGGATCACATCCGAAATTATACTTATTTGATTAAGATGATTAAAAAACATACGTAAAAAAGACATCAAGGCCTACAATATTCATAGGAGCCCGAGTCTAGATTCTACTAAATTTTGATCATAAATCAACTTCAAAAATTTCAATACATAACCTAGAGTCCTATTCAACAAGTCCTAATTGATTTCATAAACTATATTAAATAGGACTTTATTGACTATCATATTTATCTTTTGACATGTATAAATAGCCTTTAGGGTTGCACATTTTAACAATTCAATTCAATGAATTTCAAATGGGTTTGATCTTTAAACTATTGGTTATAATTTAAGTGTCTTTTATTTCTCTAAGCATAATTAATTAATCTTTGAATTAAATTAATCATGATTACATCAATAAAAGTTGTTACATTTTATGTGTATGTGAGTTCATACAAATAAAGTATGACAATCAAAGTTCATTATAAATTCCAGTAGATATTGCATCTTCGGTAAGAATTTATATTGAATAAATCATCATGGCTCTTATTCTCAATAAATTTCCGCAGATATTGAATCCTTGGTAAGAATTTATGATAAATTAATAAATTTGTGTGAAACCTTTCATGAAAGAGATGTCAAGAAAAAACTCTCTTCAAATCTTTGTAAGACTAATGTCTTCAATCAGGATGTCAAGCTTTTTGACTCAATCTCTAGGCCCCTCTCGTGCCAACATCTCGTTACGACAGGAAAAGGACGTCAGTTTCGATGATTTCACAACTAATCTCAATTGATAGAATCTTGATGTCCATGTCAGTAGTTTATTGTCATATGCAGAAATATATGTTGTCTCATGAAAGTTCAACCTCTACCAAACATATACAACACCAAACTCAGGAAGGAGTTGGAGAATGAAAAAAATAATAATAATTGGAACAGAGTCATCTTAAAGAAGTTGAAGCTTTCAAGTGGGAAATGGCTTGATTGTCTAGTTTGATGTAAAAGATTTTTCAAACAAGACAAGCGGACGAGAGAAACATCTAAAATGGTTATCTCATCTTCACCACTTACTGTTGAAGTTCCCATCGAATTTCCTCCTAGGGCAGCATTGCAATCGCCCTACATAGCTGGTCCTCCTTGGTTCATGCCTAACCTTCAAGAGACATCCTTAAATATGCAGCAATCACTATTCAAGAGGCATTATATCCCAATACTCCTTACTCATTTATGATGCTTCCAAAAGAATCCAGTGGGCAGCCAGTTCTACTATGGACATCGCTATTGACGAACCGATCAAAGAGAAGGTCAAGGAAGAAAATGAATCAAGCAAACTTCTGTCCATTGAAGAGCGCCTAAAGGTTGTCGAGGATATGAAATTATCTGACCCAGTGAAACCACCTAAATCTTAATACCTGATGTTGTCATCCTAACAAAATCCAAAGTAATTGAATTCTCAAAGTATACTAGTACTTTAAAAATCTAATTTAGGGTCTCATTTTTCTATTATTGCAAATTATCTTTGTTCTTGAAAAGTAATAAAATAATACTATTTTTTTCTATTCATATTTGTCTTAAAATATTTATCTGATATTTTTTTATAATATCAAAATAATGCATGATTAAATCGAATAAATTGTTTTCTCAAAACAAATTTTTTTTATTTAAATATTGTTAAAAATTGTGATGTGCATTATAATTCATAAGTTTTTTAAAATATGTGAAAAAAAAGTAAGAAATTATGACTTAGGACAGAGAAAGTAGTGGTAATAATAATGATAATTGGCTTCTTGATTTTGCTGGTCTTGTATGGATTAAAGGTCCCATTTTTCTTCTTTCTTCTTCTTTTCTTTTCATGGCGCACTTCCTTCTGGAAAAAAAAGGGGTTCTTGAAATTCTTCCCTTGCTATAAGATCCAAATTTCTCTTCTCCAGCTTCTTCAAGTCTTTATGTGCACTGCTTGAAGAAAAACCAAAAAAGGGGTTTTAGATTTTGTCATTCTTTTATGTATCTAATTAGGTCCTCGTTTGTCTTCTTCTTCTTTTCTTTTTCAAGCGTACTTCCTTGGTGAAAACAAAAATGGGTCGTTAAATGCATTTCTTGAAGAAGACAAGAAAATGGGTTCTTGAGATTCTTGTTCTTTTATTTGTACAAAGGAGAGGACTCAAATAAACAGGGTGAAACTTTTCAGAAGATTAATTTGGCGTACGAGGTATTAATTAGTATATTTAATCGTTGAAGTTGTTACAGTTCCAATTAATTTGTTTTCTCTGTTTGCTTGCATGGTTCTTTCAGTGTTGGTTGAGTCTTTTTATACACCTCCCAAATAAGGAAGATAAATAAAAAGAGTATAAACTGGGATTTTCAAGCAAGACTACGAGAACCATCAAGAATTAATGAGTTGGGTGTTCATAACTGTGGATTTCGCATAGGTGTCCTTGAAATCATCCATTTAAACATGTAAAGAAAACATTAAGTGGATTAAAATTAGTTAAAGGACTTACTGAGTTGATGACTCTGTAGTCTATTCTTTGGAATTCATTGATGCCTGCAACTAATTATGAGCATGCTCTGGTGTAAGTAACAAAGAATGTTTTGTGCTGTTTTTTCTCAATGTGCTAAATTATGAAAATATAGGCATTTTCCTAATTTCAGCTGATGTGCTAAATCTCATATTGCAAATTCAAGAGTCAATCCTGACTGTGCTAAATTGGCTGGCATTACCCTTGTTTTTTCAGCCTAATAGTTACAAAGGAAACATAATCTTCGATCAGCATAAAATGCTGGAAAAAATGAAATAGCATTAAGAAAGCTTCATAAACATGTATTATCTCTGTTATCTGAAGAATTTCATTTTCCTTTTCTCTAACCTCTGTTCTATGTCCATCTGATTTCCTTTGCAGAGCCAATGCAATACTTGGAACAAGAAGAGTTGCCAAAGGCAAAAGATTCTGATCTGATGGGAAGAGTACTTCTGTTTCACTTAGTAAGCATATGCTCATTTGATATTCACTTCATCTCATATTAGTTTATTGCATTAATTTGTGCTACTATGTAGCGCATATTGAAGAAAACTCTGAAAATAGTGCTTTATATATCCTAGACCTATGCTATGCCTTGCATAATGGCACAGCCTAACTGGCTTTATTTCTTCTGGGATTTTACTATACCTATTCGCATTGCTATCCGGTCCTATTTTTTCTTACAACATGGTTGGTTTGGTTTGAATTAATCATGAAATAGAATGCTGGAAAAATGACCGGCTGAAGGAGATTCATTATCATGTATTTTCTAAGTTACAGCTAGATATACAGTTCCATTTTCCTATTTGTTAATCTGGATACTTTCTCCATGTGATTTTCTTTGCAGAGATAGCCTAATGCAAAAGGTTGAACAAGAAGAGTTGCCAATGGCAATGAACTGTGATAAATATGATGAATGGGAAGAGTGGATGGGACTCGATGGAGGGTTTCCTGTTGTATATGATGATCCCTTCATTCTAACTGATAATTTTGTATTCATTTTTACCATCATTCTTAACTGATAAATTACATACAGAAAGGCTCAACTGATCCATAGTTAAATAGTTGCAAGGACCCTTGTAAATTGCGTTGGAAATAAAGGCAATCACGCATTTGCAGATATTGACAAAAAATTGAACCTGGGAGTTTTGGATGTGAAATTCTATCTACTCTGGAGTTTGACCCAGAAAAAAAAAAAACTATTATTGGATGAGTGAGAAAAAAATGAGGCGAAGTTGAATCTAAAATTCCATATAATTGCAGGCTTTTTCTAAAAGTAACATAAGATCAAGAGATCCAGATCAGGATCATGCAATTTATTTATTTTATGATATAGTTTTTGGCTACATAACATGCATGTCTAAAGTAATACCCATGAGCACTGAAACTGAAGCCATGAATATGGCCTATATATATATATATATATATTTATATATATCCATCCATTCAACAGTGGATCAACCTTCCATCTGCAAGGTGAAGGGTGCAGTTCTTTGGAGCTAAGCAGCAGTTGCAAACCGAATTAAGCTTCGTATCACCTGAAGACTTGCAAGTCATGTAATCCACATCCAAGCAATAAAGAGGACAAGCTTTGGCACTCATCACTTTATCACCAGTGGCTCCGAGTAAAACTGCACTTTCTCATAATTGACAGACAAAACATTATAGATATTTTCTTTAATTTGGATATTAATTAAATTGCCATCATAATAGTTTTAACTTTTAACAGAAACAATTCTTATAGACTTTCTTAATAAAAAAAAAAAAAAAACTTATTAACCTCTTGGAAAATGAAAGAGTGCATGCATAGAAAACCTTTATCATCTTCACATTATCGAGTAAGAGAGAATATTGAGCTATTTAAATCCAAATAATGATCTCAAAAAGCAAAAAGAAAAGGCTTTCGATAAAACATAGATGGAGAATTGAGAGAGAACATCTGCTGCTCTATTAATAAACTTTTCTCACCGAAGAAGAAGAATTTAATTACTAATTGCAATGGAAAAAACATTAAAAAAAAAAAAAAAGCTGTGAGACGAAAGCATACCAAGCAAAAGAAGAACCATAGCATTGGCAGTAATTAGTCTTGCACCAGCCATATTTCTGCTGAAATGGAACTTTGAAGTGTAAGCCTTTAAGAATCTGTATTAGAAGAAAAGTGATTACAAAAATAATCTTTTTTTTTCCTCTTTCTGGCACTCAGCCACTCAACCATTGCAAACATTGACTACTATATATAAATATATTAACAAACCAGTGTAGAATGGTTGAATAATTTGGCCATCCTTTACAGGGTAGTCAAAGTCAACTATATTGCTCACACAGCAAACATTGACTTCAATGTTATGTCTAGATGATGTGAATTTTGAACCCAAAAAAAATAAAAAAAATAAAATAAAAATAAATAAATAATAAAAAATAAAAAATAAAAAATAAAAAATAAAATCCACTACAAAAAAAAAAAAAGGAAATAGCGATGGAAATTAGTAATGGATTATAGTCTCTCACTTAGCAATAGATCAACAAACGAACCGCAACTATCGTCAAGGTGTGGACCTCATCTCGTGGAAAATCGATAGATTAGTGATGGTTTTTCAATGAGAGACCTATATCTCGTTGCTATATTTGATGGTAAAATGTTCACGGGTATTTTAAAGATGACTTAGCAAGAGAATTGCAAGGGATATCAACAATCGACTTTTTATTCTGCCGTTACTTTTTGGGTTCAAGGTTAACGACGAAAATTCCATCACTAATTGCATATTTTCCATGCGTAGACTTTGGTAATTTAAATTCTGTCAAATTAGAGATGGATTAACGAGGGAAACTTATGTTCGTCGCTAATTGACGATCGAATCGCATTCATTGCTAATTCTAAATTCCTAAATCATAGTTTTTCTTTCTTCTTCTCTCATTTTCTTCTTCCTCTCCTTTCCTCCTCTAACCACTCGCCGCCATCCCCACCCAAAACCACCACAAACCTCACTCCTCCACTCCCCCGAATCCTCACTCACTCTAAATTCTTTTCTCCTTAAAAGACCCCGAATTTCCTCATTCCTCTTCGTCTTTTCCTTGTTTGCTCGAAGGTATGCTCTCTCTCTCTCTCTCTCTCTTATTTCCTAAAAAAAAAAGTTGTTAGTTTTCATAATTGTTAGGTTAATTCCGATTAATTGGTTGAATTTTAATTTTGTTTATATTTAATTGTTAATTGGTTAGGTTAATTTCTTAATTAATTGGTATTTAAATTAATTATGTTAATTAGGTTAATTAGGTTTTAATTAGGGCTAATTTACTTAGGTTTGTTTGAATTAGAGTCAAATTGATTAGGTTAATTTATTAATTAATTGGTATTTAAATTAATTAGGTTTGTCATCACCTTATTTTTACCCTTATAAAAAATAAAAAATAAAAAAAAGAAAAAAATAGAGCGAAATAAGCCTAGATCGATATTGGGCTAGGTATTAGGCGTAGGGCTAGGTTTGATTAATAATAAAAGAAAAAATCGAATAGGAAAAAAATCCTAGGTTAACCCTAGAAATACCCCTATAAATATTAAGCATACACACACACACACACACACACAAAGAGAAGACATTACCACCTTAAAAAAAAAGAAGCCAAAAAAAGAAGACAAAAAAAAGCCAAAAAGAGCCGATCGCTCCTCACCGTTTGTCTCGCCTACGATCGACACACGTTGGACTAGAAAAAGCATTTGTTCAAGATGGTTCCAACCCCACAAGAATTGCTCAATTTCAATCTTCAAGGAGGCTACAATTGCTGTTCAAAGTTTTGTCATCCATAGTGAATTTTTATCCAATTTGGTCCTCGAAACTTTGATTTTGGTAATTACACCTTTGCAAGTTCTATATTTGATTTAATCATCATCCCAATTTTGTATATTTCATGATTACTTGATTATTTAATATGCTTTTCATGAAAATTATGTGATTAAGATGGAATTTGGATGATTAAGGGATTAAAACATTTTTATTAAAAAGGTGAAATTGAAAAAAAAAGCGTAACTTACCGTACTTTGTAATTTTTGGCAAATTTAAAAGGGATTTAGATTAAAAATTTTTATGATATTTGTGTGTTTTAAAATTTAATCTAATTTGGTTAACATTTTATGGTTTTTAATTTATTTTGTTATTATCTTTAATTTTACTTTTATTTATTCATCATCATCATCATTATTATTATTTTTTTAAAAAGGGATTTAAGGGTTTGATATATTGTCTATTATTTTTATTTTTTAGATAAAAATTTCATGAGAATTGTCGGTCAATGATGAAGTTAGCAATAGGCTAGCATTTTTTTTTTTCAAAAAATCAAAATAAGCCAAATGTGAATTTGTAGGCCAAGGATCTTGTGGAGGCCCATTGACTATTTTATTTTTCATGAAGTCATTTTTTATGTGATATGTGATTTTTTTTTTTTTTACATGTTTTTATGATTTGCACTTTGTTTATTTTATGTGATATTAATTTAGGTCGATCTAGATGGAGTAGGTTTAGCACTCGAGACCAGACTTTGTTCCATTGACAAGCCTTTTTCTAATTATTTATTTTTATTGTTATTATTTATAGTTAATTTTAATTATTTTTTTACGATGCCACTTCGAATTTGGGTTTTGGGACCCACTTTAATAACTTAAAATGACATGGCATGGTGATATGAGCTTGAGGCATATATCTATTTGTGAGTTATTATAGACTTGTAAATTTTTTATTTCTATTTTTTATGGTTTGGTAGGTGAATTTGGGCTTGGGCTCATGTTTGTTTTATTTTTTATTTTTTTTTGTGGGACGAGGATTTAATGTACAATAAGCTTTTAGCCCTAATTTTTACCTTTTAAATGGGCTACAACAACCCAATGACATATTAGGTGAGAGACTAAGTTCTCTTTCGGCTTTTAAATAACTTCCCTTAAAACTTACTTAGAAAAAGCCTAAATAATCAAACACGTAAATTAAGATAGAAAAGGTAATTTGCATAAATGAATTCCCTTAAACTAGAAATATAAGGTAACCTCATATTGATGGCACACTAAGATGACTGTAGTATTCCCTAGTTGTATAATCAACCTCTTTACTTAGAACTTTTGAGACTAGTGTTAGGTTTCTCTTGGTTTTTACCTTTTGAAAACCGAGTGGTCACTCTACACATGTACATTTTTTTTTTCGATTGTTGAGAGGTCATTGTGTGACAAAATGGTGACTCCACTATGGAATGAAGGCTTAAACCTATGATGTTTCTTACTTTTGGAATTATCCTTGTTCTATCTTGATATGCTTGTATTCTTATGCATTTTACTTTGATGTTTGGGCTTGTATATGAAGTGTGACCCCTTTGCACACACTAGCACCGACGCAAGAATGATCTTTGAGCCCGCACACACTTTGATCCCTTAACCTAAGATTAGAAGGAGGGAGGTGGCATTTGAGAGACTCGTTGTCCCGTAGTTTGTGCAACTCGCCCCTCCATTTACATAAAAAATTTATCCTTATTGATGGGACTATGAAGGGCAACCTCGTAACACTCATGTATGAGAATATAGCTTCAAGTATATCCTATTATGGTGGAATCCGAGCCCACGATGGAAGCTTTTGAAAAAGTTAGGTTAGCCAACCTTATCTAATCATGTTTAGATAAATCTAGAACCTATCCCTAGGCTACTCTCGGGATAAAAAGGCATAAATTATTTGTTTTTTTTATGTAGAATATTCATAACATTGTCTTACTTTAGAAACATCATAGCTATCAAGATTATCATTAATTGCTTATGATACCATGCCCTTGTTGGCATAATTTGAAATAGAAATAACGAGTAATAGTAGGCACCCTTTTGATGTCCAACTCTACCGTTGGCTTTAAAGTCATATTGATAGCCATGGTGCTCCTTTTAGTCAAAGCACACATCATAATCATGTCTAACCATGAGTTCTCATATGGAAGCATTACATCTTCTTAAGTCTTATATTTTGCATATTCATCCGAGGAGAAATATAGGTCACACCATAAATGCTTAACCTTCATCAAAGATCTTTAACACTAGACTAAAAAAAAGATGAAGAACGAGGAAAGAAATCAGATGGAATAGAATCATGCTAAGAAAGTTGTTGCCTATAAGGGAGAAATTACTAGATTGACTTATTTGGTAGAGTAGTTTATTCAAACAAGACAAACAGATGAGGGGGCATCTAAAGAAGTTAACTTGGCCATTACTCTTGTTATCGAAGCTTCTATCATGTGTCCTACAAAGGCCGCACTTCAATCGCTCTATATTATTGGCCTTCTTTGGTCAAGCCTTTCTATCAAAAGACATCCCTCAACATACCATAATCGGGATATGAGAAACAAGTTAATATATAAGAGGCATCATATCTTAATGCTCTAAAACCCTTTCTAATACTTTTAAATGGACCCACCGATCAGCCAAATCCTACTATCGATACCCCTATTAGAGAGTTGATCAAAGAAAAAGTTATTAAGGATGATGAAGATGATAAAATTCAATATAATGAGGAGCACCTAAGTGGCTATTAAGGGTATGGACCTATATGACCCAATCAAGGCCACCAAGATGTGTTGAGTACCTAATGTCTTCATCATAAAGAAGTTTATGCCGAATTCACAAAGTATAGGGTATCGAATGCCTAAAGACTTACGTTTGAGTCTATTATAGTAAGATAGTATAGGTTATGCATGATAAGAAGCTTTTAATTCACTTTTTTCATGAGAGTTTGGACAATGCTATTTATAGTTGGTACATGTGTCTTGATAGAGCTAAAATTTGAAGATGGAAAGATCTATGGATGCCTTTGTTCACCAATATAAGTTTAATTTAGAGGTGGCCCATGATAGAACCATATAACAAGACATAAAAAAGATAGTAAAAGAGTATATTAAGGAGTATGCTCAAAGATAGTGTGAAATGGTTACTCAAATATATCCTCCCCTAACCGAAAAAAAAAGCTAATTTTTATGTTGTCAACACCTTCAAGGCTCCCTATTTTGAGTATCTTATCGGTAATTCATCACCTAACTTTGATGATGTAGTGGTTATTACTACGAGAGTGGAACAAGCTATTAAGGTAGG